CACTTTTTAACAATGATTGAGCTAAAAGCTAGTGAAACAATTACAGTAGCCGAGTCTAAGAGAACGCTAAAAGAACAAGCGCCTACAAGAGTGGCTTCCCCCCACATTTTAATCACGCCCGGAGACTGGCCAAGCTTATTGATTCCTGCCAGTTTGGCTAAGACATCACGTGACTAGTGGGCCATTGATTATTATTTTTTTTTTGGTTGAAGGGTGGGGGGGGGGGGGGTTGAATCAACAAATACTCATACGGCAAGATGTTAGAGGACCCGGGGGGGGGGTCAATAACATATAATTTAGCACAGAAGATGGTCGAGGAGCTTATACCGGTCAAGGTCGCTCCAAAACAATTTAAGTGTTATCGGGAAGATCCTCTTAGCATACCGACCCAGCCTATTTTTCGAACATTTCCAAAAACTTGTTGCTAGCCGGGATTCCCCCCCCCCACAGCCGGGATTCGAGTAACCGTCCCACCCACCACATTGAAAAATAATAATTCAAAGTCCCCCCCCCCTACTTTATAGTATTAAAGCTCTCACTTGGTAGTAGGGGTGTAAACATCGAATTTTTGGCAAACCAGTTATCGATTTTAGAATTCGGTTGTATCCTGGTTATCGGCTTTTTCCAATTCATTCCTTACAGTTCAAGGTCAGATTGACATGTCATCTAAGATCGGTGGGCGGAATGTTCAATATAATTTGAGAGCCTGTGAAAGCAACTCTCATCTTGAAACAGTTTGGTACCAGCACTTGACCTACTTTATAACCAGTCACCAGACTTCGATGATACGCAAACTTATTAAATGACAGCTATATATAGTTTTTTTTTTTAAAGGTCCAAAAAGACAAGCCGAACACAAATTTCATTGCAAGCGGCAGTCGTATATTTTTAAAATAATTTCTTTCTACTTACATTTCCATCGTATGGATGTGGGATAGATGGAGCGTTATTTTTCTTTTTTTTTTTTTTTTTTTTTTTTTTCGCCCTTTACTTTTTTTTTTTTTTTTTTTTTTTTTTTTTTTTTTTACGCACGTTACATTTTCGCGCGTTAAGTGATCACCTCAAAGGAGTTGATTGTCTCGTTGCAACTGAGTTGTGTCAACATCGCGTCTGCTTCGTTCTGTGAAGGGTGAGTCGTCGCGCCCATGTATATAAACCGGTACTCTCTCGCTATATTTTGCACAACCATCGATGTAAACAGGCGATCGCGACAACCACGTCCAGTTTTATGCGGCACCTCTTGTACAGGCCTGCCCAACATACGACCCGCGTGTGGCCCGCCAGCACCCACTTTGCGGCCCGCGAAGTAAGAAGTCATTCTTTTTAATTATTATTTTCTTACTAGCTTTCTCCCTGTCCTATTTTCTTTCGGCCCGCAAACGTTTTTCATAAAGTATTACGGCCCGCCTTTATACCTTTTGAGTTGTGCAGGCCTGCTCTAGTATATAAGAGATTCTATGCACAAGTCAATAATAATATATGTAAAAGTTCTTCAAAATTTTTTCAATTAGCTCTAATTTAAATTACCCCTTTTAAATTTCAATAACTTTATTTATGTGTCAATGAAGTGGCCCGGTCGCGAAACTGCATCGGCGAAGTGGGGTTGATGAAATGGCGGCTGCGAATTGTCCCACCCAACCATCCGCTGCAGGTACTCCACCCACCCCCCTTCTTGCAGATCCAACAAGAAAAAAACTTTAAAAAAAACAACAACTATTATTGAAATAGTGAATGGCACCAAACTTCTACAACAATGTTTGTCTAGGAATTTATAGTGTGTACGACGTCATGAGTCTAGGTCTTCATTGAGTCTGGGTCTTCGATGGTAAAAGTCTCACGTAAAACAATATTGAAGGATGTCAAGAAATCGAAGGCTTAAAGTACAGGCGCCCAGACAAGAGAAGTTCATTAGCTGTCACGTGATTCCTCGCCGGGGACGAGACGGGAAATCTCTCCTAGAGACGGCTGTCAGCGAGGGGAGGGGTGGGCCGAATAACGAAGAAAAACTTAATAATATAGCGCCTACGGCAAGATCCGATATTGCTCCCTTATCAAGTTGAAGAAAGATGTGTTTTTTTTTTAGTGTGCATCATGCATATTATCGCATTCAAAACAGTTCATGACCATTTTAAAAGTATAACTTGCCATTTGCCTACCATCCCCCCCCCCTCCCGTTCCCTCTACGGTTTGTTGGTTCGTGTGCAAAATCATAAAGTTGTGTGCAAATTTTAACAGCATCAACTTTTTTGTGCGCACAATTTTACAGCCTACAGTCACAAACACACACATCAGTGGAAAGTAGCTGAACCAGACGCATCTGCCTACGACCTGGGTCAGTGCCTCGCGCTTCTAGGGGCTTCATCCTTCTTGGGTGCCTGACACTTCTATGGCATACAACCTGCCACATTGTTCATGAATATTGAAATATCTTGAGTGAATTTTTGTTTGTTTGTTTTGTTGTTGCTTTCAGGGTGCAGTAGGTAGAAGGTCTCCCACGTTTTGGGGAACAAGTTTTTCGATTTGAAATAATTTTAAAAAAAATATTTTTCAGTTTATCAAAAACGTTTTCAAATTTCTGGTACACGGGATCAAACTCAACTTCATACGTTTCGTTTTTTCCGGAGGCAAAATGAAGCTGAGGCCTACAAAAAAAAAAAATTCCCTCAAGGTGGGGTGGGGGTGCGTCACAGCTGGAACGAATTCATATTTATGTATGGTGACATTATGCCTAATTTTGGCGATGATAGAGGCGCTGCCCCCCACCCACCCCACCCCTTTCCCGAAAAGCATCCCCTCACACACACTAAAATATTCTGAAAGGTAATAGTGCAAGTGCCAACATGCCCCCCCTCCCCCAAATTTCCTGAACATTTAGTTAGAGAGGATGGGTGGGGGGTCGTGCATTACTTTGCCCAGGGCCACCGATGCTGTTAAGACGGCCCTGCACTCGGTACGCCCCTGAGTGAGAGGCACATCATGGTTGCCAGTGAGAGATACTATTATGTAAGGTAACCACTGTTCTTTACAAGTACTGTAGGCTACCTTTTTTTAAAAAAAAAATTGTCCTGGTTGGTAGTGAGTTGTAACAAGCACATTCAAATATTACAAATTCAAACATGATTAACAACAACAACAAAAAACAACAAAAATCCCTAATAAAATTTAATATTGAGCAATTGGGGGTGGGGGCAAAAAATTGGACACAACATGCATACAAGTAATGCACTTTATAAGAATCCCAATTAGAGCCCCCCCCCCCAAACGGGCTCACAAAAGCACATTTTTTTTCAAATCTCTGAACTATATTAATATTCTAATGCCCCATCCACTATTACACCGCAGAACCATTTCATCTTTATAAAAAACCCAATTAGAGCCCCCCCCCCCCCCAACGGGCTCACAAAAGCACATTTTTTTTCAAATCTCTGAACTATATTAATATTCTAATGCCCCATCCACTATTACACCGCAGAACCATTTCAGAAATCAGAAAGACAAAAGAAAATATTTTGCACCAAACGCACATATCGGTACGATATTTTTGTAAAAGAACCTCATTTAGCGCCAGTTATCGCGAATTTTATTACTTGAAATCAGTGACATCACATTTATTTCATCTTCCCCTTGAAAAACTGATTTTTGTGGGGTTGGTGGTGAGGCTGAAAATTTGATCGAAAAAAAAAAAAAGGTTGTCATTGACGACGAGTCTATGTGCCAAGTATCAGCTCGATAGGCTGACGGGGAAGTGGCCGATATTTTTGCCCACCCAGCCACGAACAAAAGCAAAGTTAATATATAGAGGATTTTAATTTTAAAATATGCATCACGATCAAATAGGGTTTTCAAATCTCACGAAGAGATGGTTTCGCGGTTCCCTTTTCTTTGAACTTTCGATTTGATATTTTATAATTGGATAATTATATAGTCATCCTTTGTTACAAATGTATGAAATTTAAATTTTCAAACAGAATATAAATTAATTTATTAGCGTGTATTATTTTGAAGAAAAAAAAAGCTAATATTATTATTATGTGCTGAGCATTTATCATTCATTTATATTTTAACCTTTGCCCTTAACAAGATATGACGGCCTTTCAAAAGTACAACCCACCCGCGCGGCTCTTGATTAGTAGATACGCTTTATAAAACGGAGCTTTGCTCAAAGAAGTTTGCTGACCCATGGCTTAAAACAGTGGTTCTCAACCTTCCTAATGCCACGACCCTTTAATACAGTTCCTCATGATGTGGCGACCCCCAAACTCAAAATTATTTTCGTTGCTACTTCATAACTGTAGAGTATATGATTTTCCGATAGTCTTAGGCGACCGCTGGAAAAGGGTCATTCGACCCCCAAAGGGGTCGTGACCCACAGGTTGAGAACCGTTGGCTTAAAACATCGGTTTCTACCACATATTAGTCGCTCATTAACATCATCTGTGACAAATCATATTGTTACTGAGCATAAACTGTAGTGCAAGTGGAGATTTCACACGCAAGTATTGTTAAGTAATTCCAACTCAAGTGATGCATTCTTCCTTGTCCAAAATTATCTCTCCTTGACTTGGTCAGCTGAATTTCCATCCTGTGTCACGTGATATTTACTCACGCCTTCATCTAGAGCAGAAAAACTGGCGCCTGTCGCAGAATTTAAAAAAAACAACAACAAAAAAAAAAAAAAACAGAATTAGTTTCATATTAGTTAAATTTAAATAAAAGTGAGAAAATAAATCAAGACTATGTCAAACATGGCGTTTCGAATCAAATAATAATTTAAAAAACAACAACATTATCTTTGCAGCTATCTTGTTTATATTTATACCTTTTACGGCACATAATGATAAAGACACACTTTGTGCCTGTCTCGTGAGTGGCAGACTTAACCCCCCCCCTCTCGTTCTCCCCCCACCATTGTCTGTATCCTGCGACATCGCGTGTATGTACGACGCGAGCTGAATTTTGTCCCGCGTGCACACAGCTCGAGGATTTCTTCAACATAATTTATTCTCAGTGAACCTCTGCGGCTCTGAGGGCCACTGCAGAATCTACATTTAAAACCACCCAGCCACTGGGGGTGGGGGGAGCGCCGATTTGTGTCAAATGACGTGACTTTCTAACGTGGTGGCGGTCTGGGTGTGTTTGTTATCACACTGTGCTGCTACAGCGCGGCTAGTTGCGGTTGCACTGGGGATAGAGAGACACATATTTCAACGCCGACAGGGTGAGTAACATTTCTAGTGAATTGGACGTATGAACAATTACTCCAGTTATAATGTATAGCCTACTTTAACTGCAGCTTTATTGATTTGAAATATCTCGGGGCCGGTGTGACGTGTGCGCGGGGGCGGGCCAAGGGTTATTTCAGGCAATCGATTTTCGATGACGCGTTATGGGACTGCATGGACTGGACGAGCCTAGTGTGACCCTAGCTAATCAGTCAGTTAATCCCTTTGCATATTATCTATTATTCGTTTTATAATCCATTCTAATATTTCTAACACATCGTTCAAAATAGTCCATACGCAAGTAGCCATCTAGCCAAACCCTATAAATATAAGCATAACTTAAAGTTTATACCAATACCTGATTAAATCTTACTGCTACCCATATCTGATTAAAATCTAAATGCTACACATATCTGAATAGAGTCACACTAGGCTAGAGATGAGAGAATCGCGTCCAGTCCATGCAACACAAGGCTAGAGATGAGAGAATCGCGCCCAGTCCATGCAACACTAGGCTAGAGATGAGAGAATCGCGTCCAGTCCATGCAGAGTTGTGCTGGGAGTTAATCTCCTCCAATTATAAAAATGGTTTTGCCTCTCATTTATGTACGGTGTCCATCGGTTGATACCCATAAGTATGTTTGAATCATGAAGCCACATACAAAGTTTTGCAATAATATCCCTCCATTTAGAGCATATTATATCCATTCATTCCATCCATTCAGTAGACCATGAATGGTTAAATACACAAATAGTCCTTCTACTTCCAAGTATGGCTGACTTTCCACACAATAAATATTCAACATTTCTGTCTAAACAAACATGTCACCAACATAATATGGTTTAAAAAGCATAACTAATCTATATGCACAACTAATTTTAGTGAATAGATTTTTCTACCAAGCATATATCACAGTCATAACAATTCATTAACCCATATTATTTTTCCTTCCAATCAATTCACTATGTATCCACCCATACATTCTTCCTCTCCTCACTCAGCCATCTATCCACCCATCCATATTTCTTCCACTCACTCCACCATCAATCAGACATCACACAGATATTCATTGATGAAATTATCTCTGTCATTTAATACACAGTTTCCTTTTAAAATGAAAAATTAAATCACATAAACTTGGGAAAAGCCCTCTGCAGACATCAAAATTAAGATAATATGTGTAAAACTATAGGTGAAACTGAGGGCAAAAGAAATCTCATTAAAAGGACAAAAATATCGCACACATTTTGAAATGCACTGACAACCTTGGGGGGGTGATGTAAAGATGAATCTCTGGCTGTTTTGTCAAAAATATAAAGAAGCAAACAGCTTGTATATAATAATACAGTATTATTCTCATTTCTTAAACGTCTCTCTCATTAAGCCTAAAAATTATCTCCCCTTGTGTGAACCAATGGGTTTAATGTTTTGCTTTATTTCCCTCAGTAAAACAAAAACATTACAGAACTTGTAAGCAGTCTCACACACAAAGTTATCATACATATTTAAAAGAACTGTATTTATTTTTATTTTTTAGATGGACTTCATTAAGCGTGGGCTGAGTAAAATCACAAGGGTGAAAACCATTCCGGAAGATCTGCATGAGACGGCCTTGAACAGATGTCTTAACACGTTTGACATCACGCTGCTGGGCATTGGTCACATGATCGGCGCAGGCATTTATGTACTATCTGGTATGTTGAAATTATATTAATTTATTCACCAGTTTTAAAAGTAATCGTAAATTAACAAATAATTTAATTTTGTCATGGTTAAAAGTTATTGTTGGAATAATTGCCTTGGTATATTCTGGAGCTCAAGTCAATACGGTGTAGGATTGAGTAGGGTAGCTAGACTTTGTGATGCATGGGGAAGACTGCCTTTTCTACCCTCCTCAACCTGCGCCATTGGTAGAATACTCTGTTGTGAAGTATAAAAACTTCAAAATTGGGCACCAGGGACAGTAACTCCACCTGTTACTGTCAACTATGATGATTCTATTATTTACCCATTAACTATGCCATGTGTTAGGAGATCAGAATCATTTTGAATGTAACAATATCAGACCTGTTTACCCTCAAACTCTTAAAATCGTACAATATCATCACAAAATCAATCAATACATTATCTTAATAGTAAAATAAACATCAGGATATATAATGTATACACCTCAAAATCGTACATTGTACGCCACAATCGTACGAGTAACAGGTCTGCAATATCTGCTTGATGCAGAATCTTTTTTTAAAAAATTTAAAAAACAATTCATCTTTGATTCTGTTGTTAAATGGTAAAATTTTGGTGATAAGAATTTTGTACCACCTAATGACACCAATCAATCTGTCAAGTACCATATGAATTTTAACAATGTAATTTCTAATTGTATTTTCATGTTTTAATTTTAAGTCATGTCATATTGCAAAACTAGTATTAAAAAAAAACAAAAAACATAGTATTATGCATATTCTGTTACAAACAATTTCCAATAACCAGGCACTGTGGTACATGACAAAGCTGGACCTTCAGCTGTTCTCAGTTTCCTGTTTGCTGGCTTTGCTGCCCTGCTCAGTGCTATGTGTTATGCTGAATTTGGTGCAAGAATACCTAAAGGTTAGTTAAAAAGTGATCACTGTCCATGGATTGTCAAATTGTTTTGAATTCCTTGAACTTTTAAAGGAATGGATCGCCTATGAAATATTTGTGTGTTAAAATATATATTAAAATTAAAGATTTGATAATTTAAATTTATAAATATCCTTTTCCAGCAAATTACTGATTTCTTTGCCATATATAGTTAGATAAAAGAATTGAGTGTGACATATTTTTATGCCATTAACACTATTACATGTAATCAATCAATATTATAATTCCCTATGCATGAAAGAAGGTACCAAACAATTGTGAGTTTTATAAAGTGCAAAATAAAATTCATGATAACTGAAAAATACAGCAAGTGCGTTTGGTGCATTTTTTACTTTTGTTTCAAAGAAAAGTCTCAATTAATATATGTTTAAAAAATCAGCTGTGTTAAAGGGGGTGGGACATTAGATTATTAATATAGTTCAGGGGTGTGGAAAAAAAGTGTGCTGGGGCATAGGGGTTGGGGGGGGGGGGGTGTTAAGCACTAATTGGGATTTTTTTAAAGTGCCCTATTTGAATTCATGTTTTATCAGCTAACTTTAATGCATAGTAAGCTCAGGCATTGACTCTGCCACTATTTAGCAGCCTATATCTAGTTATAACTAATAATTATCATTGTTTATCACTGTGAAAAAAGACAAGTTGGATTCTACTTGTACTAAATTAAAATTGTTCACTAAATCAACTTTTAGAGGTTACTTTTTGTTTCATAGCTGTAGATGTAGTTAAGGTATTTTCATTCAAGAAGCCAAGAGGTTCAAACACTCTTTAAAAACCTACTACATAGATCTAAAGATGAAGTATTATGAAGTTGAAATTTATTTAATGCAATGTTTATATTATTTAACTTTGAGAATCTTCCCACAGCTGGCTCAGCATATTCATACACGTATGTTACCATTGGTGAACTATGGGGATTCCTGATTGGGTGGAACATTATTCTAGAGCATATGATTGGGGCAGCCTCTGTGGCAAGGGCATGGAGTGGTGCCATGGATGCTATCTTTAACAATGCTATTCGTAATGGAACTATTGAAGCCATTGGTAGGTTTAAAAATTTGTTTAAGACCATTAAAATTACATAAAATATATCTCTACTACAGTAATTACTCAGGTTTGAGATTTACTTAAACAAGGTAAAGAATCATTTTGGGGGCTTTATAACGATACATGCTCTTTAACTCTTCAAGACCTGGGATGAACATAAGCAAAAAAAAAAATGCATGAGGACTAGTTATTACTATTATGGTGCACACATTTAATATTCTTTATTTCATTATTTAAAATAAATTTTATCCCTACCATTACATGCAAGAACTGCAAACACTGTGCTAGTCCCTCAATTCTATAAATTTACACAGTTCCTTCAACACTATCCTGGTCCCTAAATTCTATAATTTTATGCACTTCCTTCAACACTGCGCTAGTCCCTCAATTCTATAAATTTATGCAGTTCGTTCAATACTGCGCTAGTCCCTCAATTCTATAAATTTACACAGTTCCTTCAACACTGTGCTAGTCCCTCAATTCTATAAATTTATGCAATTCCTTCAACATTGTGCTAGTCCCTCAATTCTATAAATTTATGCAGTTCGTTCAACACTGCGCTAGTCCCTCAATTCTATAAATTTATGCAGTTCCTTCAACACTGCGCTAGTCCCTCAATTCTATAAATTTATGCAGTTCCTTCAACATTGTGCTAGTCCCTCAATTCTATAAATTTATCTAGTTCCTTCAACACTGTGCTAGTCGCTCAATTCTATAAATTTATGCAGTTCGTTCAACACTGCGCTAGTCCCTCAATTCTATAAATTTATGCAGTTCCTTCAACACTGCGCTAGTCCCTCAATTCTATAAATTTACACAGTTCCTTCAACCCTGCGCTAGTCCCTCAATTCTATAAATTTATACAGTTCCTTCAACACTGTGCTAGTCCCTCAATTCTATAAATTTACACAGTTCCTTCAACCCTGCGCTAGTCCCTCAATTCTATAAATTTATACAGTTCCTTCAACACTGTGCTAGTCCCTCAATTCTATAAATTTACACAGTTCCTTCAACACTGTGCTAGTCCCTCAATTCTATAAATTTACACAGTTCCTTCAACACTGTGCTAGTCCCTCAATTCTATAAATTTATGCAGTTCCTTCAACATTGTGCTAGTCCCTCAATTCTATAAATTTATCCAGTTCCTTCAACACTGTGCTAGTCCCTCAATTCTATAAATTTATCCAGTTCCTTCAACACTGTGCTAGTCCCTCAATTCTATAAATTTATGCAATTCCTTCAACACTGTGCTAGTCCCTCAATTCTATAAATTTATGCAGTTCCTTCAACATTGTGCTAGTCCCTCAATTCTATAAATTTATACAGTTCCTTCAACATTGTGCTAGTCCCTCAATTCTATAAATTTATACAGTTCCTTCAACACTGTGCTAGTCCCTCAATTCTATAAATTTATGCAGTTCCTTCAACATTGTGCTAGTCCCTCAATTCTATAAATTTATACAGTTCCTTCAACATTGTGCTAGTCTCTCAATTCTATAAATTTATGCAGTTCCTTCATTTTTACAGGGTTAAGTAGAATATTAAAATTTAAAAAAATAAAAAATTTCTGTCCACTTTAAATGGAATTTTTTTGTTTGACATAATTTATTCAAACCATCCTAACCTCTCTCTCATTACCAGCCCAATCACTCTTAATCATAAAATGTTGCCCCACCACAAAATGCAGTAATATATTTTTCTGAATTTGCAACAGTTTAGATTTTGTTTTATAATAAGATGTTTATCAAAGGGTCTCTTCATTACAGTACTTTTAATTTATGTTTGCCAAATTAACAATTTTTTTTTGTTTTCAGGTCGACTGTCTCATGATAACGAATGGATTTCAGAATACCCTGATCTTGTAGCTACGGGGATCACCCTCGTAGCTTTCATTATCATTGGCATTGGAGCCAAAGCCTCCATTAATTTTAACAGTGTCTTCACCATCCTCAATGCTTTAGTGCTGCTGTTTATCATCATTGCTGGATTCTGCTTTGCTGACACAAGCTTGTGGTCTACCAGCTCAGGGTGAAGTTTCCCTTTTTTTTTTCATGTGTGTTATCGATTTGTTGGTATTCTTCGAAGTTAAGAAGAGTAACAATAGATATAAATAACACTTTTGAGAGATTTTGAGATCAAACTTGATGGATACCATTGACACTTAGCACATACCGTTTTATTTATGAATGTACAGACCATTAGTGTAAAAAAAAAAGGGGAAAACTTGTGGAAAGGAACACAAAAATTGCTTTGGCTAAAATCTCTTCTTAGCCATAAAACGTTGTTATATGTTATTTTTTTTTTTCAAATCTTGAAATACAATTCAATTAAAATCAATTTTACATTTCGTCTCTTTTAATATTTTGAGAATTAAACAAAAGTTCAGACCATTAGTGTAAAAAAAAAAGGGGAAAACTTGTGGAAAGGAACACAAAAATTGCTTTGGCTAAAATCTCTTCTTAGCCATAAAACGTTGTTATATGTTATTTTTTTTTTTTTCAAATCTTGAAATACAATTCAATTAAAATCAATTTTACATTTCGTCTCTTTTAATATATTGAGAATTAAACAAAAGTATGATTGTCAAATGTAACAAAAAAGATTTTGAAGATTGAAATAAAACTTTTTTCAGCCATGGAGGATTTTTCCCTTTTGGATTTGGCGGTACTATGTCCGGGGCTGCCACCTGCTTTTTTGCTTACATTGGTTTTGAGGGAATAGCCATAGCCAGTGAGGAAGCAAGAGATCCAGAGAAAAGCATCCCTCGAGCGACAGTCCTAGCTCTCTTCAGTGTCACATGTCTCTATCTGTTGGCAACTTCTAGCTTGACCCTTATGGTGCCATATTATGACACCAATACATCAGGTCAGCTTTTAAGACAGAAAAGAAAATCATTCAAATTTTTTATAGCTGTCCTTGAAATGTTGCACATGATATCTAAAAATAGTTCATAGCTTGGTCAAATGAAAAAATGTTACAATTAAATTTATTACTGGTAATTATATTTCAAAATCATGACAATAAACCTGAATTAAATACGGTTCTTAAATGTTTCAGTAAACAACATTTTAAATAAATTTAAAGAGATAAATATTTGAAAACATAAATCTTCCATTTGTGATATCCTCATTATTATTCCGTAAGGTAGAACTTTGAAAAAGAAAAAAATTATGTAAATATTTAAATTGTTGCAAATACCCAAAAACCAATTGTATCTCTCCCCAGCTGCTTTCCCATTTGCATTTGCTGAGGTCGGAGCACAATGGGCGAAATACATTGTTGGTGTCGGAACACTCCTGGGGATCAGCACATCCTTATTAGGCTCTGCCTTTTCTCTTCCCCGATCCGTCTATGCGATGGCTGAAGACGGCTTGTTGTTTCATATCTTTGCCTACGTGCACCCAAAGACACAAGTAATGTATAAAAATGAGCTCTTGAATTTATATTAAATTTTCAAATAAGTGGTAACATACCAAAGAATGCGATTACCATCTTATAATCATAATTTGAGCACTTGTAACGTCGTAATCAAAGAATTAATAATTTTTTAATTTTAAAAAAAATGTTTATCTTACAGTGCTTATATCAAAGTACAAAAGTGAAATGGTAAAATGAGATTGTAAAATTGTTTACATAAGCTTGAAAAGTTGAAAAATAAAAGATGCTTTTACTAGCAGGGATCATCATAATCCCCATATTATTATGAAACTGCCTGTATTGGAATAAGAAAACGTTAAATACCAGTTTGAGTTGAATACCAGTTAACGTTAAATACCACTTTTATCATGTGGGAATAATCCAGACCTGTGAGAAATTGTAAATAAGTCATAATCCACAGACCTTGTCGCCTAGTAGGTAATGAGCCTCTTGGTCGAGGTAATATTACAGTTCATATGGTCACAGAATAAAAAGTTTGATATCATCAATGAGAATCGTTGTTATATTTGCAGACTCCAATCTTTGCTGTGATTGTGTTTGGTGCCATCTCAGCTCTCATGGCCCTCCTCTTTGAGATCACGACTTTGGTTGAGTTCATCAGTATCGGAACACTTTTTGGCTACACCATTGTTGCCGCCAGCATCATCATACTCCGCTATCAGCCTGTCAATAAATGCCAGTTTAAGGTGTGTGTGTTGGCAAAGGACAGTTGAGACCATTAGAGGAAGCAAAATATATCTCTTCACAATAGTTACATATGAATCAGTTTTAAAAAAAAATTAAGATTTAAATAGACATTACTAGACCTTTTGCGAATTAAAAAAAAAAAAAAAAAATTATATTAATATTTAATTCCTTTAAATTTAGTCATAACTAGAATTTAGCTGAATAATGATTTTTTTTTTTTTTTTTAAAAAGTCTAAAATTTTTCTAAGCAAAAAAAAATCAAAACATTTACATTAAAATTTAAGAAAAACTAACATCCATGTTCACTTTTTATTGCTAATGACTTTACCTTATTAATTTCTGGGTACATAAGCATCATCAAAAGTATTATAATAATTTGGGCATGCTGCTTACAGTGAGATGCGGATGGTATGGTAATGGTATTTGTTATCTTCCCAACTTAGCTCAAGCCTGATGGTCAACAAGAAGTGTCTGGTGTTACGGACAGCTCAATGGTCACTGTGAGCGAGACAACTCCATTATCTAAATCTGATCCCACAACGCCTGTTAAAGTAAGATTTTCTTGTTGAAAATTTCAGTTTTGATCCTTTCAAAAAGCATGTTGCATATTATGTTAACAAGTTAACGTCCTCATTGATCTGAAGTCAACATGTTTCCGTGGGGCGACTCTTAACAAAAAAAGAAGTTTACAAATTAAAAAGCTCTTACTTGCAACAAATTAAAAAGCTCTTACTTGCATATGGCACGTGGAGCTGTGCTATAATGATAGGAAGATTGTTTTAGAATAACCATGGTTGGACACCAGAGGCTACAGGTTGTTGTCATTTTTTGTTGTTGTGTGTGCGGTTGGGGGGGGATTACATTTACCAATGACCACTAAAGCTAAAGCACATCATCCATTTTGTAGATAAATCTTTTATATCATTTTTGAAAATTTAATTAGCAAACAGATAAAAGTGGAATGTTGCCCAAGTCAAAAAGTCATGATGACTTTGGTCGCTTAAGACAGAATTTGCGGGAGGTCCCAATACTGCGCCGCTTTGAACCTGGTGACGGTGTGAAGAGCGCAGTTGTTTTGATGGGACTTTTCATGGTTGGACTTTGGCTTGTTGTCATAGAAGGGGCAGAGTATTTAAGGGTGAGTAAAATAATGTTTATATTGCTCTGAAAACTATCAAGATGTTTAAAATTCATCTTTCATTATTAATGCATTATTTTGTCTCCTTTAGCTTATTTCATTAGTTCCATAATGCAGACACTGTATTTATTCTAGACACTGTATTTATTCTCTGGAATTTGTAGCTTCAAATATAGTTTCATATAATCACTAATTTCATGAAAAAAATAAAATAGATAATAATGTATATAAGGAAATAAATTAGAAGATTATCACAACCGTTGACCAGTTGTCTTCTTCTCTTTCATAGATGAAAAATTAAATACCTTGATTAAATCTCTAATTAAAATAAAGACTAACAAAGAGTTAATATTTGTTTAAAGTTTCAAGCACTTAAATTTAAAACTGTTGAATAAACACCCCCCACTCCCNCCCCCCCACTTTTTTTTTTTACTACAGGTGGCAACATGGTGGGCTGTAGTGCTTGTTGTCCTCTTCAGTATTCTTATTGTTATCTTTTACTTGGTCATTGTTGCACATGAAAAAAATGATGCTTTTCTGACTTTCCAAGTAAGTTTTTAAAAATTTAATAATAAATTCCTTGTATTATTATACTTCTTAAAAATTATAATTTTAAAAAAATCTAACAGAGCAGAGCCGTTCTAAGGAGTTTGGGGGCCCTAAGCATGGAGCGTAGGTTGGGGGCCCGGAAGGAGGGGTCCGATCGCTATTTATACTTTCCCATTCCCACGGCCAAGCCCCCGATTTCCTGTCTGCCATCCCCAAAGCTCACACTTGCTGCTTTGCTTCCCCTGCCTCCGAATTCAACTCAGAATGATAAATTTCAGGATGAGGAAGGTAACGTGAGTGACACAGACGGCTGCAGTGATAGTTAAAAAAAAAAACGGGGGATCAAGGGTGCCTCACGGGGGCCCCCTCACGTTTGGGCATTACGCGGATGCGTAGTCAGCATATGCCTAAGAACGGGCCTGATCAGAGCAGTAACTCCCTCCACTTTAAAAAAAAAAAGAGAAAACACCCACTAACCAAGAATTAACTTGTCAAGCATTTCACTGAAGCAAAACATTTTGTAAAAAAAAGTTCAACTTTTTTTTTTTAACCTCTTAACCAACAGATACCATTTGTACCATTGCTGCCGTCACTGAGTATGTTAATAAACATTGCCCTAATGCTGTCACTGACAAGACTGACCTGGCTTCGGTTGGTTATCTGGATCACTGTGGGTAAGTCACTTTTAATTGAAAAGGTAAACTCTGAAATCAATCCTGTAGATTGAGTTCCGAAGGTGTTATGACACTGACATGATGAAGAGTCTGACAACTCCAGCGACGTAGAACCCATAAAGTGTATAGCAAAACACAAAGCTGGTTATCTACTGCGTCCTGGTCTGTTTCCAGCCCTCACTAAGTCTTGCCGTTGCTTCAAATAGGGAAGGACGAGAGAGTGGGGTTGACAAAGTGAACTACTCTCACTCACTTTAAACAAAATACAGCTCAAGTCAAGGACACTAAACAAGTAGATCATTGTCTTGGACATCTTTGTGTGCAAAGAGGGACAAACACTAATTGAGTGTTTAAATGAGGGTTTAAGTTTTATTTAAGACCTTATGTGCCAGTACTTTTTATATATTCAAGGTATAGCGAATGTAATTTCATTAGTAGTCCTTGTTTCCTTATTAAGTTCTTTTCTATAATACCAGTGTAGGAAAAAAAGTATTTCTTGCCCACATTATTGCTAGATGAGTAGCCTACCTTGTTTTCAGTGGAATAGTCAGATTTTTATATTTTAAAAAGATATACTCCTCATCTTCTAACAAAAAAATGTTCTCTCTAAATCTTAAATTTGTATATGGTGACAAGCTGCTGTTCTGTATTGGTTAGACTACAACTAGTTATAAAAATACTTAACTAATGATACAGCATAGCTGTACAAAGTGAATGTTTGGCGCTCAAATGTTATAAAGATATAACATTAATTATTTCTACAGAAAAAGGAGTATTATCCTCTAAAAAGGTACACATGGCATTTCTATTTGAATGTGTCATATGTACATTAGAAGAAAACAAAAACTTCCCTTCTGAAGAACTTATAGGTTGCACATACACTTTTGATTTAAAATTTCTTTCAAATAATTATAAAAATTTGGTAAAACTAATCTGGAATAACGAACAATTCAGTGTGAATAAGCCAATTTTAATGGCAAATAGGATTACCAGTTTTAAGGTACCTCAAGTTTGTAATCTTATTAGGCATTAGTAAATATTCATGTATAAATTTATATATGTTTTTAATTCTCAGGTTTACTTGTATATTTTGTGTACGGCATTCACTACAGTAGAGAGAACAAAAAAATCCAAGGTTATGGACCCATGGTAGAGTACAAAGGGGATGCAACAATACCTGAAAGTTCAATTTCTGGGATGAAAGAAGAAGTTAAGGAATTACAGCCAGCTAGGAAGGAAGAAGGATTATATCAGTAAGATTGTGGACAAACTAGAAATTTTTTAAAAAGTTACTGAAATTTTCTTTTTTTGCAAAGATAAATAAAAGTTTGATAAAAACTTCAAACAAAGCTGAATACATGTAGGCCTACTACAGTTATCACATGACATTAATCCAAAGTCCACTTAAGTCATTAATTTCAATTGATAGTAATCTCACAAAGGCAAATTGGTTATTTAATTTGTATATTTCTTAAGTAAATATGAAAATTATTTTGGAAAATGTGCTGGTGATTACTTACTATTTCTTCTTCTATATCTTAAGGGCCCACGATCAATTTATTGATCATTTTGGCGCCTATGCATGTAGATGGGATTTGCAATGTTTCTGTTACTGGTGTTGATGAGGAAATCATGCACTAGGGGTTTGAAGGCTTGAGGCAATAGACAATATTTACTTGAGGCAATATTTACTTAAGTTAGCATGAAAAAATCTTGAAAAGAGCTTATTCATTGTCATTCATGAACCAATTATAATTTTAAGTCATACTTTAGTAAGATTTTTATATCACAAGCATTGAAATTGAATCATTTTTGTCCAATGCATCATAAATTGCTCTTCTTATGTGTTTTTGCTTGATTTAGATTATGTTATAATTCTTATACATTTTTACCAAAAATTATATTGATAAATTTTGGTTCAAAGAAAGAATAATTTGAAAGATTTTGATGCAGAACTTATTTCCTAACAACACCTGGGCCATTCAAAATCAATACACCTTGTGCCCAATAATTTTCAACAGTAAAATTAAAATTTTTGGCACTAATCAACATTTGAACTAAGGAATCCCACTTTAAGTTAATTATTTGTTTTATCAAAATGTTCATTTCCCTGTTTTAGTTTTTACTGTTAAAAACATTTTAGAAAAGAAACAAAAATCTTTATGGTTGAAAAGAAGTTTGAAAACAGTTTCTTGATGTATCCAAATTTTAAATTTTATATTTTATATACCGTATTCAAATCTACTAATGCTCATTTCTGAAAATAATTAATAGTTTTAATAGGGGTGATCATCAAAAAAACCCAACTATAAATTATTTAATTTTACAACACGTAAGTCAGTGTTTATCTGCAGCTGGAGGCATAAATGAAACTGCTGTACTTAAACTTATCATTTGTTAACCAGACAGTCTGAATTCTGAAACCCTGGGCAGACTGTTCAAACACACAGTATTGAAAATCAAAATATTTTGTTAACACTTTTTATTGCTCAAACATTTTCCATAAAGCCAAAGTTTCTTAAAATGAAGTCTGAGTACTATCCAATGGCACAAAATAATACCACATTCAATGAATAGGATGGAAGATGTTTATCTCTTGCAAATATGCTCATCTAGCATAGCACAATTTATATGTAGTATTTTGCAAATGTTTTTTTTTTGCTAACACAAACATTATTTGTTTCCTGTACACAGATAGAGCTTTTAAAATTCATATTTCATTGATCAACACATCTAAAAATAATATTTACCTTTCACTGTTGTCTATTTTTTGTGAGTTGAAAATAAATGTACAGCTTTTTTATTAATATATTTCAATATCAGTGACCAGTTTTAATAATTATTTCTAAGTAAGATATAACATTTAACTTAACTTTGAACCTTTCCAGGAAACTCCCCTTTTCCTGGATTTCTTGGGTTTTAAATGTTATGTTTAAAATACATCACTTAGAAACATGGTAAAACTTCCTAAATTAAAAAAAAAAAAATTGATGTTTGGACAGAATTTTCAAGATATGAAATTAATAGTCATTAAAATTTAAAAAATACATGAGCAAGATTCATTTTTTTTAATTTTAAAATTGATTTTTTTTTTTTGAAAGGACTTCTTTAAAATAATGGATCTATTGTTAAATTTAAAATTGATCAACATGAATCAGATTATGTAGAAACTCTGTTGGTTATTGCTGGTAAATTTATTATTTTTTTAATCAACAAAAACATTTAGGCAATATTGTATTGACTGTGTGATCTGCCTTTGTGAAAAATATGTGCATAAAATTTGTGACAGATATATATTTTTGTGTATTTTTCTGTGATATTTACAACATTTTTTTCTTGTGATTTTACCCAACAAAATGTGTTCATTAAGTTATGGTCATTTTTGTGCTGAGACCTGAGATGTTTGTGTCATTTATATTTACAATGTTGCAATAAAAAAAAATGTGTTCTCTGTGGTCGAGGATTTTTGTTGTTGCTGGTTTATCTTTGTGGACTCTTAGTTAATAATTAATATATTTACATGGCTGGTGTTACGAACTGATTCTGCCCAAAGGTTCGATGGCTTCGTTGTCTAGGAGTTTAATTTAATTAACTTTACAAACCATTGATTATTAATATTTAAATACAATGTCTTTATTAACTAGATCTCAACTGCCATTACTCACAAGACCACACTACTCACAACAATACCTATACTTTATATCCCCTTTTATACAACACGTCACAAGATACCAAGAATAATAGATAAAACGACACACATAATCTCTACACAACACGCAATCACAATATGCATTCAAGTCCTTAACAGCTGGCTAGGCTACTTTATGGCTAGATGTGCAAGATTTATGATTTTTAAGTATTGTGATAGATTTCAACAATGATGAATTTAAACAAAAATAATCTTAAAAATACCTAAAATAAAGTTTGCAGAGCTCAATATATTTTTTGTTGTTGTAAATTTAAAAATTATTAAGATGAACAAGTTGCATGTAATATTATGCTTAAAATAAAATACTCTAATTATTCTATTTTCAAAATTCCCACAGGCAATAGATAAAAATCTTAAGTCTGATGACTTTTAATAATTTTCAGATATAACAGATAGTAAGGTCTTGACGGTCAAATCAGTGATTTACTATTCATGACATTGTGTGGCTAATTATAATAATATTTTAATTTTCATAAATGTAGATTATGTGGTATCTGTCTTTAACCTTGCAATAAATATAATTAAATAATTGTTAATATTAAGATTTTACTTACATAAACTCAGAAAGGTGTTCAGTACACAGCAGACCAGGGAACTGTAAATGACAGAAATAATACACCATGAAAAAATTCAACTTAAAATAAATCATTTTATTTCATTAACAAGTAAGAGAGCACAGATGAACTATGCATACATAAATTGCAATGGATTTCACTGTTTAAATGTATTCAGGTGTCATCAATTGAAATAAAAGGAATCTTAAGATACACTTTTACTACTTTGCTTGATTGCATAGCCAGATTATTATTGAGGAACAAAATTTACTGTTAATGACAAAGTATTAATTGAAAATTTTACTGCATTTCTGCCCCCCTCCGGGCTCTGGTTGGCATGTCTGTAGTGACAAGCTGACTAAAGCGGCGCTGCCACCGACCCCCTAGTGCTACCAAATTGTAGCGACTACAGTGCGAACTGTAGTCTTTGCCAGCTGTGGCAATATCTGCAGTAGAAACGGTAGAAACAGGGTAGAGATCATGATCAACATGTTGCCGCTGATGGATATGAAGCAGGAGGTGGGTAATGGCTGCCTTATGCCAATGATTCTATATACACAGCCATTGATGAGGCTGTTCCTATGCAACAGTTTCTTGGTGGACTATTTACGAGGTAGGAGGATATATTAGGATATAAATACACCATCGTGAGAGCAATACCATTGGCCGACCGGATATCCTTAATTAAATGATGTTACGTTTGGGGTCTGTGCTATCAGGAGGAACTCCCAAAGTGCTGTTTCCAAGCCCCATAGTTAGGGGACTTTTAGTGCTAAAAAAAAGGGGGAGGTGGGGGAGAGAGATGGTGCTTGGGAAGAGAACATTTTATCATTTATTTGGAATTTCTAGAAACTTTCAAAATTATTTCTAAGTCTTATAACAAAACATTCCAGGAAACTAAATGAAAGTTATAGACTCATAAAAAGCATTATGATTCAATGTTTCTTTCAGGCATCTCTCCAGGAAAGTGTAGGGGGTGAGGGGCAGTTGAGATTATGAAATATCTATACGCTAAATATGTAGAGTTAAGGCTAATCTTGTAAGAGGCTTATGCTGTTCAATTAAAAATATCGTACTGTACCAAAAATTGGTTAATCTTACTTTTGCTGTTTGGTTGAATCTGTATTTTTATTTATTTTTGCAATTTCGCAAGTTTAAAGACCTAAATAACACAGTATTAAACTACCTTTACATCAGTATAAAGGTAGGACCATATTTAGAGCAGAGGAGGCCTTGAGCACAGTGCTCTATATACTCAGGGTCGTGCTAAGGAGGGGCGAGCAGACCAATTACCCCTGGTGCCAATATTAGAGGGCGTCAAAATTGTCTTGATAGCGAATTAAAAAATAAAATCCCAACTACTTCACACAGACAGGGGCGGCCATTCGTCTTAATAGTGCACCCTAGGCACTGATTTTCCTGGGAACGGCTGTCTATAGGCTACTATTAAATTAAAGTAATATTATCCGATATGAAAAACATTATGGCCTAGGTAGACCTATAAGTGTTGACCAGTTTCTTTCAGGTAATTTTTCCACGGGGCAGTGGGGATAGTATTTCAGGCGTTGAAAGGAGGGGGGGGGGGCATGGCATCTATTAGCACCGAAATAAGGAATTTTGATGCCAAGGGCCAGCTCTGCTGACTTCATCGTCGCCACCGCCATATATACTTAACCATACATTTATTTTGGTAATGGCCTGGAGCCCCCGGCTTAGTTTCATCCTTGGAATCTATATAGTCCAACTACATTAGCCAAACTTGAGACAATTCATAATTTTGTCCGTTCAACGGAGTGAGGCCTGCCAGCCGCCTAGATTTAGATAGTAGAGAGGCAAGGCGTCAGACCCAGGCCCTGGGCAAGTGCGAAGTGTACCCATGCCTTAAGACGGCACTGCTTTTCTCCACTAGTTTTCACTACGGAGTAGAGAGCAGTGGCGTAGCTAGTGTTATTACTAACAATTACTAACATCTTAGTCTAACATGACTGTAAACACGAATGCTTACTAAAAAATTTTTCGATTTATATCCGAGAGCAGTAAAACTGGTTGACGAGAGTTATTCCCCTTTAAGTTTAAGAAGGATCCAACTTGTTATTCGCATTTATTAATATTAATTTAGGAAAATGCCGATCGTGAGTTCAAATTAGTGCTCGATTCGAAAACGGAAATGAAAACTTCAAAAGAGTTGAAATTGTATAAACAAAAATTAAGAGTTGAACGAGAGCTAACAAATAGTAAACGAGTCATCAATTATTATTACATCGGAAAGGTTTGTGTTTACTTTTTTAAATGATTAAATGTACTACTTTTGTAACACATTTCCTGATTAAAGAGGTGGGTTTTTGTTTTAATAGTATAGTATAGCCCATATTTATTAAATTCCTAGCAGCTTTTCTCCTTTTTTTATGTTACAGAATACTAAACAAACTGTTCCACCTATTTGCACGCATTTTTGTGTTACATTAATTTTTTTAATGAGAATCGTGGAATCCATTTAAATTATCATGACAATTCTATTTCTTGTACTAGTTTTAGAAATCATTCTTCTGTATTTGGTAAAAAAATGTGTTTAAGTATATTGAAATTGAAGAGACTTTTTATAATTTATCTGAAGAAAGTTAGATAGAAAGATAGTTTGAAATTCCAAAATAGCATTTCAATAAAATGAAAAGTGGAAATGTATAATTTATTTTTTTATACGATTTACCTCAGATAAAATCCCACATTAATAAATATATGAAGTTTTTTTGTAAACATCTCATTCATGTCTTCTTAACCTAAATATGCCGTTAATATACGATTTATATACGATTATATATGATTTATATACGTTAATATACGATTTGAACGCTCCTTCTGCTTCCATGCGCCCACGTTCTGGAACCAGCTCCCCTTCCATATACGTCATAGTGAAACCTCGTCCATTTTCAAAAAGTCCCTTAAAACTCATCTGTTTAGGTCCGCCTATGACCTGTGATGCACCCTCCTTGCCCTACCTCATTTTCTGTTTCGAGTTGATCCTGAAGTGTCAAAGTGTCCTCGTTTTATAGCCATTCTCATTGTTTCTATAGAATAGTAGTTACTATCCTAGTGTCTCATTTGTATTTACTTAGTTTACATGTTTTAAAAATTGTAAAGCGCTTAGAGCTTTATGATAAGCGCTATATAAAAATGCCTAAATAAATAAATAAATAAATTTATAAAAATGGCCAGTTTTGAAAACCCATAAAAATGTGTAGACCAAAGAGTTTTTCTTTCTATTTGACTCTGGTAAAATTGAAGATAATTATAAAATGTAATTATTATAATTATAATACATTTTGTGTTTTACTTTTGTATGTGCGTTCAACATGTATAATGATGTCAGCATTGCTTTTTTGTGATGGAAACCTTTTGGAAGGAATGTTTAGTTGTTTCTTTGTTTTTAATTGATTGATTGATTAATTAATTAACCCCACAAAATACATCACAACTTTAAGCATGTACGATATCCTAGGCCCTATTCATCTGTATGGGTTACAGGGCCCACACGATGTATTTGAGGCCAAGTGAATCTAAATTTTAAATTAGCATTATCTTCGCCATTGCTCACCAATTATGTGTAGATTGTTCCAAAACTAGTTTTATGTACATGCTAAAATGTATTCTTGCATTTTGAAGTTATCAAAAATTTTCTGCGGACTATAAATATTGCAAGGGACAAATACGCTAGGGCAAAAAGTATAACATCAAGAGCGTAAAAAATGGAATAAATTTAGTTTATATAGGGGGGGAGGGCAGTTAGAGATGTGCTTGATCGCTGTTATGGCGACTTCTGGCGCTTCCCAAACGAAAGTCTGAAATCCCCCCTCAAAATTTTCTGTAAGAAAAACCGAATTCAAGTGTGCGCAAAAATTCATCCCTGCATTTTGAATTTGCACGATATTCTGCGACACTCTAAATTTCTGCACCCCCACCTTCCCTCACGCTGATCAATTTGACAGTACGACGTTGAATGATTACCCTGGGGCACGCCACAAAGGGAGTGAATTCAGTTTATGTTGGCATTGAGCGCCCATAGTGTCTCCTGCGGATGCTTGAAAAAGTCCTTTCCCCGATCAATAAGTCAGACCCACTGAATTCAGGTATTCTACAAAAATACACCTGCAAATGGGGACATCTATCCTCCTATTATCTCCTTAACTACGCCTCTCATCGAAAATCTGAAACCCCCCCCCCCCCAGGACATTTTCTGAAAGGACAGCAAGAGGAATGGGGGGGGGGCAAAAAGGTGGTGGGGTGAGTAAAAAAATTTTTTTTAAAGCTTGAATAAGTTAATCATGGGTGGGCCCATATTATTTATATGGAGAGTAATCCTCTTTTGCCGAGGTGAATTTTGACCACATAGTCCTTGTCTCCTCAGAGAAAAAGCCACCGCGAAGCCATAACTCCCATGGGAACTCACTCATGTATTTTTTGGTCAAGTAAACGTTTCAAGGGTTGCTTCCCCTTAACTTTGATACTTTAGTAGGGTACCTTTAAATCAC